AGAAACGTCGATTGTCAACAACCGTATGGCGATAGCTTCAATGGTACCATTGTTTTCGATTTTCTCCTATTATGAAAAATAGCTAAAGTGCGTTTTTTTTTAAAGATAATTCCCCAAGTCAAAAATTTAGTAACTATGTTGGCAACACAAGCCTTTTCTACATAAAAAATTTGAAACATTGACAATTTTACATTGTATCGCCAACATAATGTCATTTTGACTTTTATCTTTAAAAAAAACGCACTTTAAAAAAATTGAAAGCATTGACAATTTTACATTGTATTGCCAACATAACGTCAGTTTGACTTTTATCTTTAAAAAAAAAAAAACAGATTTTATGAGTTTTTTGTTTATCAATTTTTTGACAATCGACGTTTCTCGAAAATCAATCCCATGACATCTAAGTCAATTTTCCTCTATCTAGTCTGGAAGCACAGTGGAAGTATGTCTTTTCTGTTAAAACACTCCAAATTGCAGCACCCTGTACATACTGCACGACCCTGGATCTTGCCCTATGCCCTTCGGCCTCGAAAACGCCCCCGCCACATTTCAACGCATGATGGACGAAATACTCCGTGAATTTTTATACAAATTCTGTTGCGTTTACATGGTTTACATGGACAACATTGTCATATTTTCAAAATCCATATCTGAACACATTAGGCCTATTCGGGTTTCTAAAAAGGACGGTTCTAGAATGGTTCAAAACGATCGCAAGGAAATCAAAACCTTTTAAGGGCTGCTGGTAGGATACTACCATAGATTTATCAAGAATTTCTCAAGTATCACATTTCCCATGACAAAATGTTTGAGGAAAGGTAGTATCGTAAATCCTAACAACTTAGAGTATAAAAATGCCTTCCAGAAATGTAAAGAACTTATTTCCAACTCCCCTGTACTACAGTACCCCGACTTTTCCAAATCATTACAACTGACAACAGGCGCCTCACACATAGCACTAGGAAGCGTATTATCTGAAAAAGACCATCCTGTAGCCTACTACTCTCAAACCCTAAACACAGCAGAAAGGAATTATTCCACTATAGATAAGAGCTTCTAGCTATAGTCGATTCCACACTACATTTTCGACCATATCTTTATGGCTAAAAATTCATCATAGAAATGGATCATAATCCACTAGTTTGGCTCTCGAAAATTAAGGAACCCATTTTCCGGTTAATCCGCCGGAAACTTGAACTGGACGAATTTCATTTCGAAATTAAATACAAAAAAGGCGAAGAGAAGGTCGTTGCTGATGCCCTTTCAAGAATAGATAAACGCCCTCGAAACAGGAGACCAATTTACCGCCCCTAATGTTGACAATACTCTAGCCAATCTTGCAAAATTCGACCTCGCTGACTTTGTTTTCAATGAAAGATACAATACTTCTGACCTGGACCAGCCTGTTCCAGAGGCGCCGACTTTTGAAATTCCCCATGGGTGCAGGAGAATAACTCTATAAATTTGTTAATAGAGGTAGGGGCAAACTGTGCCGCCGGAGACGACATTTTTTTTCCACGAGCGTGCGAAAAGTGCTTTTTTCTGCACGCATTTTAGGCAATGAAAATATAACTTTTCCTCACTAGTGCAGAAAAATAACATAATTATGCAATGTTAAGTCACCCTGGCATTTTCAGAAAACTGATTAACCACCACAACAATAAACAAACTAAAAACTTACAGACTTTTGAACGTGCTCTTTTCGCGCTGCCACTTATTTATTACATGTGTATTCAACATTAGAGCGAATGCAGTAACTTTGCTTGTTGTCTCGAAATATTCGGGGAACCCCAGAATCGGACGAAAACAGCAAGTAGGTAGAAAACGGTTAAATTCGTAGTCAAATACATTGTTCATACTACAATGTACTACTATAGTAAAGTAAACTCGCGATAGTGTGAACACACGGTTCTGTGAACCTCCCAGTAGTATGAACAGCCAGAATGAATACATTATATATTCTGTAGTGTGAACTTTTGAGAATCTCGGTAGTATGAACAATGTATTTGACCACTATGTAACCGCTTTCTGCAAAATTGTTGTTTTCATCGGATGTTTCCGTCCGATTCTGGGGTTCCCCGAATAAACGCACAGATATGTTAAGTTACTGCATTCACTCTAATGTGGAATACACATGTAATAAACAAGTGGCAACGCGTCAAGAGCACGTTAAAAAGTCTGTAAGTTCGTTGTTGTTGTGGTCAATCAGTTTTGTAAAAATGGAGACAACACAATTATATTTCATTTCCCTATGGGTACTTCCTCACAAGAGTCTCTGACAATTTGCAAACTGTCAGAATGCTTCGCCCATGCATGTTTTCAATGCCGTCGTTCCAAAATAAATCCAGTAACTCAGCTTAGCGATTGATACTGAAAGTTTGCAAACTGTCAGGGACTTTTGTGAGAACAGACCTTATGAGAAGTGAAAAATTCTAGAAGATTGCCAGCAAGGCAAGAGCATATTGGCGTTAATGACACAGAAAGCCTAAGAAGTAATTAGCCATCCAGTGGTAAGCCAGAATCATTCAGACAAAAATTACATCTCACTTTCATCAATAAACTGGGAAAATGTACTTAATGAATATGTTTGCATTGAATTTTTTGCTTGAATTTTAAGTTGAGAGACCATTGCTGACAGTATTTTGCATTTTTAGGTAGACCTTCGATGGTGTGAACGTTTCGATAATATAAACATATCCGGTTTTTTTGTGTTCACATTAGCTCGAGCCTACTGTATTCATTCTGGCTGTTTATACTACTAGAAGGTTCACAGAGCCGTGTGTTCACATTAGCGCGAGAGTACTGTATTTTTATATTTACAAAACATCTATACATACATATATCATTGCCATCCCTACCCACGCGCAAAACTAAATTATATGGCTTACGGCCAGACTTCCCGTTGTGTACCAGATTGTCTCAATTATTATCAAAGAATAGAGATGAAGAATAGCAGCATAAAGTAATAGAGCATAGAACTGACCACAAATTACGTAAGGACAGGATACCAAGACCACTTGTATAATTCTTATACAAAGTTATGTAAATTAAAATTACATGATACTGATACTGGAACGGAATGGCCATTAAACACCTTTGTACTTCCGCATTCCCCCCAAGAGCTCTCATGGGTGCGGAGCACCCATGAGAGGTTGCTCATGGGTGCACCTGCCCCAATGCCCCCATGTAGTCGGCGCCAGTGGCCTGTTCAAAAACAGCGAAACACCTCCGAAATCTCAAGCAGCAACGATTCCGAAGACGACGTTACATAGGGTTGCCAGACCTCCTATTTTTAATATGAGACTCATATATTTTAACTGTTTCTCATATCTCATATTAGCGTGTTTAACATGAGACTATTTCTCATATATTTTGATCAGAAAAAAGAAACCATGTATATCACTACCATACACGTGATAAGTCGGAGTCTCATGCATCCGACGTCCGATGTCCGAAAAACCTTCTAGGTATTCTGGCATAATCGTATAAAAATATGCCAAAATAGAAGGTTTTTCGGACATCGGACGTCGGAAAACGCATGCATGAGACTCCGGTTATAGGATGGAGTCTCATGCGATGCGTCCCTTCCGACCGTCCGATGGTACGATGGAGCTCCTATTGGCTAAAAAATTTCCCGCCACATTTTATCCGAATATTTCCAACTTTTTTCCGACGTTGCCGAATAAATAATATTTTACTTCTGTCGCTTTTGAACATAATAAATAAAAATAAAAGTAAAAACAGAAAAAAAAGAAAATTATTTTATGTCAGGGATTTGTTTAAACATCAAAAAAATCAAGGTGTTGTCCACAACTTGTTACAAGAAATGAGACTGACGGATCAGGAGGAGCATTTAACTGCCTAAAAAAATGTCCAGCAATACATTCCAAATTCTGCTAAAAATCATAACTTAATGTTAATATAGGAGCTTTTTCGGATTTAAGTATTTTGCAGTACATAAAATATTCTCATATATTATTATCCAATCTCATATAATTTTTCACAGGCTCTCCTATTTTCGAAACTCAAGTATCTGACAACCCTAACGTTACAGTACATTCAAACAATGAAACACAGGGAAAACACCTACCAATCTCTCAACTGCTTGTTAACTACGCAACAAATCGATTAGTAATCAATTACGGTGCAACTTTCAAATACACTTCCTTAAAGCTTTCAACTTTTAAGTGCTCTTTTTCAAATAAAAATGCATTTGGGCAAATTTCTCAAAAATTATCGATAATTTCCATTGCACTCGTTATATTACTATTAATTTTGTAACCATTGCTCTCCAGAGTGAATTGCTTTTCTCTATCATACCTTCGGGTAGCGGCTTTTTCCCTTTTCATCAGATATAAACTTGGCATCTTCTTCTATCTATTTTCTTGATTTACAATAAGTCTACAATTTAAAGATAGATTGCTGATGAGAGAGACCGGGTTCAATTTCAGAAAATGCAAGACTACCTAAAGCTTGGAGCTCAGGATCTACCAAATTCCAGCTCAATTCTTGTATGTTGTGACAGTAAATCATGACCAATAACATCATCTGCACACAGTTCTGATAAAATGTATGTTTTAAAACAGTTGTATTGATGCCCCATGAGTTGAATGTTCACAAAACAGTATCCATATTATATTTTGGAATATAGATTTATTGATGCCATAGCAATTCTTCCTTCACTGGAATGTATTTTAATACCTTGGTTTTGAACAAAATTCTTATGAAATAAGTCTGTGAACTACCGGTATCTATGAGAGCATCAGTGAAAGTATTATTTATATTTACCCTATAATAATAATTGATTCACTGAGGAGTTGTTCAAACAGATTGACTTTTGTTAGTACGTTTATACTCTTACTTGAATACCTTGAAATTTGAATTCGAATAAAAAAGCTCAAGAAGTTGTTAAGCCTATGATGTTTGAAGTATACTCGCATTTTCTTAGCTGTCAACCGTTAAAAAAACAGGACTATAAATAATTCAAATCAATATTCTAGATATCAGGCTATCAAGTAGGTCTTGAGTGCGACACTCAAACACTCATATGCTGCATTTCGGCTATTTCCGACTTGATAAGACTTTACGATGGCGATTTCATGGCAGCACCGATCGACAATGAACTATCTGAAAGTGTAGATGAAGAACACGAAAAAGTGTTTGCCGGCGGTACTGCTCTGACATCACTAATACAGGGTTTGGTAGATTTAACGGAAGACGAGGAGTTCGATGTACGATTGAAAGCCTGGGAAGGGTTGTGCAAAATAATTTTAGATGATAGGATACAATCGCCCGCTTTGATTGCTAGGCTCATATTACAATGGTGCATTCCAGCTGATACAGGTATGAAGTATTTTTTGTTTGTTTTAAGGGTGGTATTTTGATATAGTTCATATATGTCGTAGGCTTTTTCAATATGAGTGAGTAATTATGGTCAAAATGAACTTCTGCTCTTCATTGTTTTAGAAGTCGACTTGATGAAAAATGCCTTGTATAAGACTAACTTCTAACTTAATCTCAAAAGTCAAAGTAAACTGCAACATTTTGTTGTATTTAAGTTAATGATAATTCCTGATTGATTTTCAGATGATTCCGAAAGTCAAACGATAAAACAGTTTATCGGTTTTGTTCTCGTTAAATTACCACTCTTACGAGAATATTCAGAACAACTCGAGGGCGGCATATTGCTGACAATAGATAAGTTTGCGAAAGCTCCCAGCACTAGTCCATTGGCCAAGGTGAATATTGACAATGTAGTCAAGTTTATGTTGGCGTTGTGCAAATTATCATCCAAGGTAAGAATTTTTGTATTTTTATAATATATTGTTTAAAATTGGATTTATGTTTCAAAAGATTTTGAGTCAAGTGGAAAAAATTGCAGCCAGAAAGTAATCCCTTAGGCACCCCGTATAAGAGAAATAGAAGATAATTGAAACAACGTTCACCTTATCTGTAAAATAATATTTATTGTTTACTCTTTCGTGTTATTTAGTTGAGTTTTTGTTTTCTAAGGAGGGAGATGTTGCTAGTTCAGGATATTGTTTGACAATTATCAGTTAATGAGCTATTGTAGTTGAATATGTCATGTCAAGTAGTAAAGCTTCTGCTGTGTTATCCCATTTAGTTTATATAATTATTCTGACTTTCCCAGAAAATAACTCTAATAGGTTCTGTTTATTGTTCTTGAATATTAAGGGAATTTAGTAAAATAATACCTTCAACAAATATGATGTATGTACCTAATATATGATTATGTCTTGTTCAGGGAGATACAATGAGGAGCAACATCATCTTGGCACTGTGCACGAAAATTAATGAAAATCCGACCAGTGAAATGACCAGCCTGTACTCAAAGATATTGTTAATTGTGGATCTGCCAGAAGACCAAAATTTGATGGAGCAAATATTTGTACTGATTGATGAAGTTCGAGAGGTAAGTAACAAATTATAATTTGTATTCAAATTTGCAATGTAGGGATGCACCGGATGCACATGTAACCCGTCATAAGAAAATATATACAATTTCACTTTGAAAAATCCGTTAGTCAAGGTTTGAGCATCAGCATATCAAATTTTCTGAGACAATTTGGACTCGTAACAACATCATATTTTTTTATATATTAGTTAATAGGTGGCCATTTGCGTACATGAAAAATAAACTATTTTATCTAATAAAATGCAAATTTTAGGATATTGATGAAAAAATTCCTAACAAAAATATAACCAAACTATTAAGTAAAGTAAGTGAAAGATTAAACCAGCCGTTGGAGCAACAAGCTACGTCTAATATTGATGCAATAGTTGAGGAAGGCGTAGAAGAAGAGGAAGAAGCTGAAGAAGTGGAAATAGACTGAAGAGAAAATTTTGGTCCACAAAGAAAACTTCAAAGTTTCATAAATAATAGTCATTTTATAATAGATAGTTTTATGGGTGTCCAAACTTTATTATTACTAGATGACTATTTTTGCAAAAGCGAAGGGCAATATTTTTGATTATATCTTTATACAACAACCAATTTGTCCATTTTTGTGGTTCCCTTTTATATATTTAAGTTTCTGGTAGGCTTCAGAAGATGTTATACCACTGTTGGCATCACTTGAATACTAAACCTATGAGAAATCTCTGTCTATCTTTAATTTGAAAAGAACTTAAATTTAACTTAAAGTAAATTTATTCAATAAAGATAAGACGAAATCTATTATCGTCAACAAAAAAGCAACTATCTAGTCGAGTCGATATGGGATTCCAAGACAAATTCGTTTTGAAAATGTGCCTCAGTTCCAGTCTCCATTCAAAGAATTTGCTATAAAATATGAATTTTATTTAATCACTATAGACTAAATCACGATAGAAAGTGAAGTTGACAGTTCGCGTTGACATTTTTAGTAAACTTTTTCTTAGGTTGTCAGCATGTGTTAGCGCTTCGATTCCGTCAGCTGGGATAAACGACAGGGTCGTATTTAGAAATGTGATATACATTTCAGAATAAAAATTTATTTTCAATTTCTTTAAAGGAAGTTAAGTCAAAAGTCAAAGTCAAAAATAGCTTTATTCGCATCTAACATAAATGTTGTGTACAAAGCCTTGGTAATAAAATGTAATTGTAAATAAGTACCTAAAACTATATATAAATACATAAAAAAAGAGCATAAAAAATAAAATTATGTCATCAGATATATAGGAAATTAAAAAAATAGAAAAATGAATAAAACAGGTAATTCAAACATGAATTAAATCCCTAAGATAAAGTCTTATGGACACAACAAAACAAAGAAAAATAACCTATTATATGTACATTTACAGGAATACAGGAAAATAAAATGTCACAAGGAACTCGCAGACAATAGTAGTCAAATACAATAAAACTTAACCCAAGAGATCGGTAAAAAATTCGTCCAAGGTGTAATATGCCTTTGTTAGCAATAGCCTCTTAACTGACCTTCTAAATCTCCTCGCACATCGTTGCCGTCTCAAACACAAAGGAAGATGATTGAACATTTTTTTGCCATTGTAAATAATGGACTTTTTCACCTGATCGGACTTAGGAATCGGCAAAGGCAACATGAAAGTCTGACGAGTACTGTAATTCTGAGGCAAGAACAGCTCTTCTCTAAACTTTTTGCGCACAAAGCATACCGTTTCCATAATGAAAATGCAGTACAATGTTAGAACCGAGTGGCGCACAAACAAAGGACGACAAGTGTCTCTCCTTCTGGCAGAACACATGGACCGAAGCGCTCTCTTTTGTAGCACAAATACAGCATGGAACAGGCTCGCCGAACAGCATCCCCAGAATGAGATCCCATATCGAAGGTGTGATTCAATCAAGGAAAAATATGTTTGACGAGACACTGAAAGTCCTAGGTTGCAAGAAATTACTCTGAGGGCGTAGCAGCCAGAAGAAATTTTCCCACATAAGTGCGTCACATGGTTTTCGAATTTAAGGGAGCTATCTATGTGCAGTCCCAAAAACCTTACAGTGCTTGAACGGGACATTCTTCCGTCATTCAGAGCGACGCACAGTGTTTTGAAATGGGAAAAATGGTGACCATCTGACGAAAAAGTCAAAGTTGAAAAAATAATTTTTTTTCTATAGTCACAGGTTGTTAAGACCGTAAGCTATGCCAGTACTAATTAGTTTTTTTTTACAACTGCTGGTTTGCGAATATATTTAATTCAAACTTGCTCTTCTGTGATTCACAAAATCTTAGGCTAAAACCTTTTCTATTTTAAAAAATTTTATGCTTATTAAGTACGAGCTATTTTAAACTTGTTTTTTGTATACAGTATTATTAAGTCATTGACAATATATTCCTATTTATTTTTTTTGTAAATGTGCAGTAAATATATGTCAAATGTTTTTTTTTTCTTCTTCAGTATTTCTTCCAAAAAGTTAAAGTTCACGTTAACTTATAAAAAAATGTCCAAATATGTCCAGGCTGATAAATATCTTGTTTGATAGAGCTACCTTTATAGAAGAAAGGCACATATTTTTTGTTTGCTAATATTTGCTATTCTTAGGAAAAAGTGCTTTTATTTTACATCATGCAGTGCATTAGGAGTGGATATCTTTTTTCACATAAGTGATATTTAAATCTTTTTGGGGCCTTTTAAACTATCTATGAAAATTCTTATTTACTGAATTCAATATATACAGGGTGACAATTTGAAAAGTTGCAATCGGAAATATCTCTTAGACAAAAAATAATATCAGGAAGATCTCAAATACGTAACGGGAAATTGGAGGGGGTCATCCCGCCTCACCCCTCAGGCGGTAGCTACCCCAACCTTTTTTTTTTTAAATACGAACCTACCTTGTGTTGCACATCGTTGGATAGCTCGTTGTTGTCCCTTCACAGTCCTATAGAAAAATCTTAAATCGAACGATTAGTTTTCGAGATATCTGTGTTTAAAAGTAAGCACATTGTGAAAACTAGTAACTTTGACTATCTCATAGACAAAAAAAAATTGTCATGAAAGTCTCGGATACACATATCGGCGGAACCAAATAAGGTGTTTATCGTAATTCTATGTGCTTCTGCGCGTCTCTAAAGACGAATAAAAAAAACCTTTCAAAGGAGCTATCACACGGGGTAGGTTCTCATTTTAGAAAAATTATTAGGAGCGGCTAGTCCTCAAGGCAAGAGGGGTAGGGGTTAGGCAATAAGCACATTAGGTTTCCCCGATGTATATTTGCCCACGAGTGTTCATATTCTTCTGATTCATGGAGCAGAAATTTGCAAAAATTTTAATTAAATTCCAATTGGTAAATTATCTGGACAAGCTTCCGAGGCTAGAACAAAGAATTTAGCCAGAATTTTTCCAGAAAAATTGAAAGAAGACAGAATATTGAGGATATTCTGCATAATCTATTGATTTTTTCAGATCCTTTAATTTCATCAATTAGACCAAAAAATATTGTTGTAAAAAAAAGTTTGTATTATATTTAGAGGCGCAGGAACTGTTAGATATGGAACAAGAAATGGAAGAGGAAGTTGATTCAGATTAGGAAAGAAATATTTCTGGATATTTATTGGAATAGGTTAAAAATATATTATTTCTTATTGGTGTGGCGTGCGCTTAGAACTGGGTATTTTTTAAATTTTTACACCCTGTATACTGCTAATTACAAATATACTTCAGAAGAAAAATATGTTTGCTAAATTTTATCAATGATAACAATTATTACATTAGTATTACTAGAATAAGTAAGTTAGAAACGTTGATGTCCACTTTTTTCCCGTTTCGCTACACTGTGCGACGTCACCCAGGTCGCATTTATAGTTCAAGATGTTGGTCTTGGAAACATTGAGAGAAAGATTATTAGAATTGCACCATTCCGCGACACACCCAAGATCTCTCTCAATCACTTACTGCAACCTATTTGGGTCCCTGTCGTGCCAAAGAATGGTGGTGTCATCGGCAAAGATGGTGAATTTTCCGCTGATAGGCAAGCGAGGCAAGTCATTGATGTAAATTAAAAAAAGCAGGGGACCCAAAACTGAGCCCTGAGGAACACCCGTGGAGATGGCTTGTTCTGTTGAACTAGAGTTGTTGAAAATAACCCTCTGCACCCGACCCGATAAATAGGAATGAAACCATTTCAAGGCAATACCTCGAAAACCATAAATCTCAAGCTTGGTCAAGAGGGTAGGATGATCAACACAGTCGAAAGCCTTCGACAAATCACAGAACACTGAGGCTGCCACATCCCCCGTGTTGAGTTCAAGGTACAGCCGTCGAAGAAAACCAAAGATAGCATCATTTGTGTTCTTGGATTCTAAGAACCCAAACTGATGGGGGTCCAGAAGATTATGTTTATTGAGGAATGAAAGTATTCTCCTCTTAACCAGCTTTTCCACAATCTTTGCCAAGGTAGGAAGCAGTGATATCGGGCGAAAACTAGAGGCCTCATTCGAATCTCCCCCCTTTAAAATCGGCACTATAATAGCCTTCTTAAGACATGGAGAAAATGTGCCTGATATGAAAGAGTTATTCACTGCGTGGGCCAACGAAGCCAAAGCCCGATCAGGAAGGGCCTGAATAACATTCAGAGGCATCCTGTCCCAACCTGAGGATTTTTTGTTACCCATCCCACCAAATATGGACCTTAGTTCTTCAACATCAGTTGGCGAGAAGAAAAAAGTTTCAGGCACAGAAACGTGACGCAGAAAACGCTCTGGTGGTGTAGTTTTAGGGATGTGCTTTGAAAGCTCCGAGGCTACGCTGCAATAATAGATGTTCAATTGGTCAGCCCTCAGGTCACTAGATATAGGTGCATGGTTATGCTTACCAGTCAGAGAGTTAACAATTTTCCATGTTTCTTTTGATTTATCAGATGCATCATTGATTCGATTTGAGTAGTAAAGAATTTTTGCTTGTTTGAGTGTGGATCTGTAAATCCTTCTATATTTATTGTAGTAATTCACAAAATCAATATTGTTCAATGTAAACTTTCTAATATAATGTAAGCATCTCATATTTTTTGCTGAATTTTTTAAGTTAAGTTATTAAAATCCAAAAATCCTAAAATTAGAGTCCAAAGTAAACACTTATAAAAAGAGTAAACACCCGAATCTGATATTTTTATGTGTCAAATCAAAATGTCATGTATTATTATTTGATAGTTGTCAGAAAAAGGGACAGATCTGGGGATTTTATTTATTTTCAACTGGTGAAAATAACGGTCAAAATTTAAACTCTTTCGTGAATGTAAGTACTATTACAAGACCTATAAGTCAAACTTGTCTGGACCATATATTTATAAGAAATAACTTGAGGGCGCCAAATCTGAATTTGGACCTAAACTCGTATGTAATTAATTATGACTTAACTGATCATAATCCTATCATGATAAACATCACTTCTGAAAACAAAAAACTAATTAAAAATACTACTGGTAACAAAGATGTTGTTAGAATTAACACAGATAGATTGATAGAAAAATTTAATGCTGAAACCTGGACTAATGTGTGTGAGGAACCTAATGCAAAAATAGCCACA